GAGTAGTTCAGAAATTTCACACTACGAGGCGCTAGTATATACGTGTAATTCTCGCATATACAATAGCTCGAGTTCTTGATCAGTTAGAAAGTTACTGTATTGGGCAAACTTGTTCAGGGGGTCAAGACTTTTCGACTGGTAGACAGTAGTTCAGAATTTTCTCACCACGTGGCGTTTGTATACATATACACTTCTCGCATATGCTATATCTCGAGATCCTGACCAAATAGAAAGTTACTGTCTTTAAAAAAGTTGTTCAGGAGATCAAAGCCTATTGCTTGGTGTAGAATAGTTCAGAATTTTCTCACTATGTAGTTCTAGTATACACGTTAAATTCTTTCATATAAAATATCTAGAGAGCATGACAAGATAGAATGTTACTGTCTTGGGCAAAGTTGTTCAGGGGATCAAGGCCTTTTGGCTAGTGGACGGTAGTTCAGAATATTTCACTTCATGGTACTAGTATATACGTGCAATTCTCGCATATGATATATCTCAAGACCTGCTAAAAATGTACTGTAATCGGCAAAGTTGTCCAGGAGATCAAACCCTATCGTTGGTGGAAAGTACATAATTTTCTCACTAGGTGACGTTGAAAGACACGTGAAATCCTAGCATATAAAATATCTCTGAATGACCCGCATACTAGTGCCACGTAAAGGGAAAATTCTGAATAACTGTACACCAACGAAAAGATCCTAACATCCTGAACAACTTTGCCGAAAACAGTATCTTTCTGTCTGGTCAGGATCTAGAGATATTTTATATGCGTGAATTCCTCATGTATACTAGCGTTGCAAAGTGAGAAATCTCTGAACTTAAGTCCATAAGCAAAAAGGCCTTGACTTCCTGAACAACTTTGCCGAAGACAGTAACTTTTTATATGATCAGGATTTCGAGATATTTTATATGAGAATTTCACGTATATACTAGCACCATATAGTGAAAAAATTCTGAACTATAGGCTTTGAACTCCTGAACAACTTTTTCGAAGACAGTAACTTTCTATCTGGTCAAGATTTCGAGATATATCACATGCGAGAACTTCACATGTATACTAGCGCTATGTAGTGAGTAAATTTTGAACTACTGTCCACCAGCAAAAAGGTTATGATCTCTAGAACTACTTTGGCAAAGACAGTAACTTTCTATCTGGTCAGGATCTCGAGATATTCCATGTTGTAACCAATTAAGTCAGAACCCTCGTAGTATGGACACCATTTACGCGGTTTCCATTTACATTTTCTCTATTATCCGCATATTTTGGGGGTTAACTGTAATAAATATTTAGCTTGTTTAGTTAAAAGCAAGTTTTTTGAGGAATACTCGTTGATTTCAGATCGATTGGTAGCTCGGCTGCAAAATGGAAATGGAAAACTCACACTGTTGTACAAAGTACAACGCGTGAGTACTCGTGTTACAAAAGTTGGCGCGAGTAAAGGTGGAAATATAATATAACATAAGGAAACAACTGATCATACTATAAAAAAAAATCATTCAGAAGTAAATCTTAATACGGAGACCTGACTCTATGCTTGCAGTACATATTATTTTTTGTATGGGCTGTTCATAAACTACGTAGACGGTTTTTGAGAGATTTCAACCCCCCCCCTTCCGTAGAAGACAGTCTCAAACACAACATTTAAAAAATTGTATGGACCGTAGACATCTGCCAAGCGCTCCCACCCCCCTAAAGCGTCTACGTAGTTTATGAACAGCCCCTTAGTTAAATGCGTTTGGGAGATAAGAAAACTTTTGTGGAAAACTAGGAACTAGGAAAACTAGGAAAACTCAGAGTGGACCACTCTACGTGTTTTGCCGTTTTTCCCATTTTGAATCGCCTGATAAACAAGAAATATATTTAAAAACAATGAATTCATATAATTTTGATTGATTTACTTACCAATTTAATCAGAAATCTGAGATAATAGCACGATCGACCAACCGGAATTTTTTTTGTCGCTCTTTTGATGATTCTTATTTGATAAGTGTCCAAAATAAGTTGGTAACATTTTTTTACGATCTTTTTTGGACACTTTTTATTTAATACTTTTTAAGTAAAATCTTAAGGTGAAATCTTTATAGACACGTGAAATACATCTTCCAAAGTCAGATAAACTGATTTGATAAAAAAAAATCATTGAATTGTATATTTTAGACCAAATTTAAAACAAGTACACTAACGCCGATTCCTCTTGACAAACGTCGAAACATGAAACTTTTTCGATAACATTTTCTAAAACTGCATAAATTGAGCAATTGTAAGCAATTTGAGGTGAACTAATGATCTTGAGACATAGCAAGTAATTGAAAGAATGTAATTACAACATCAACCCAGATGAATTTGAAGAAACTAGACAGTAAGCGAGGAAAATATATGAAAAGGGTCCAAAATATGTAGGGGTCCAATTCAAGTTGGTTACCCTATCCATTGTGGATGACCATTCCAGCTGGTCTGACTTATCACCAACCATATACCCCCGATTCTTTTTTTTTTGCACGGTTACATTTCTTAAAATTTCTTGTTCTGGGCTCTATATGTTTCTATAAGTAAATTACGATGTTTTGAAACTAGTTGCATTCAGTTTTGGTATCATTGGGAAAAAATACAACCGTGCTAAAACAAAATATTCCGGTGTATCTGTACATTTGTTTATGGTTTCCCTGAGGACGGCATCGGCGAAATTGTTAATATTCATACCTATCTCGCCAAAGTCATCAATTCAAATCTCACCACTGGACAAGCCACGAAAGACAAAAGAGTGTTAAAGTGACTATTATAAAAAAAAAATGGATACTACTTCTGGATTCACGCCATATGTTTTGTGTAAAATTACCCGAACTTTCAATTAGGGTAATTTTCCAAATGTTGCACACCACCTAATTGTTGCACTCTTCACATTGTTTACTGTACAGCATCTATCGATGGCCATGAAGATTACCGATCATGGTGACATGTTCATCAGTCATCAATTGTTGAATAATAAAACATATGTGTACTCCTATCCAACAATGTAAAAATTACTGAAAACATGTTAATAATTGGATCTCATTTGGACTCTTGGTGCTGGATTATTGTCCATGGGCAAAACACCTAAAGGTATCAAACAGTTCGGAAAAAACAGCTGTTGCGTATATTTTCCGTTTTTTTGTTTTTGTGATATAAAACTGCATATATTTTCCTCCCATTGGTGACCGGTTCAATAAAATCAATCAAATAACTGATACCAAGAGTACAGTTTTCAATGAAAGTTACTTTCAATCATCTAACAAAATTACTGATTCTTCTTGCTGAAAATTTCATTCCAAGATGCATCTAGTCAAATTTTATGGGTGTACATAATTAGATGCAAAGTGTACAATACTATAATTTCAAGGCAAATGATGCTTCCAACAAATGGGCTCTGAGACATATTCAAACGTTTTATTATACGGTGTTTTTTTACCAATATACATTTTTGATGAGCTCTGGAAATGCTTCATAAAACTAATTCGAAATTTATTGAGGAAATCCTTTTTCAAAAACATTTTCAATCTAGTTATAACTCAAAAAAACACGTGCTTCGCTGGGAAACAATTGCAAATTACTCTAATATAAACGAACCATGTATTTTGAGTCTTAATCACACAACACATAACACAACACATAGAAATTAAAAATAAACCAAGAATTAAATTCATTTCACTCATAGCCCATCTTCCACACGATAACCTAAATTTGAGTAACCCAGTTTAAAGTAGTTTGTATTTAACTACGGCAAAAAAAAATACTCACTAGCTTAGTTTTGCTACACAAAATTAAGTTCAATTCACTTAAATTTGGGTTTATATTACATTACTCAATTTTGGTTTCTTGTACAGAACAAGATGGTTGATCCGAATCTTTCGTTGTATTTTTGACAACAATAGTGAGAGAGAATGAAACGAAGAAAGGTGGCTAAACACAAATTTGTATTTAAAAAACCCAAACTATGGGTAGTTTTATTTTTCTGTGCACGCTGCCAAAAACATGTCATAATGCAATAGTGACGGCAGGTTTAGACAGCATGCTTGTCTGAGGCCTTGTTTTTCCCTGCTGTCCAATTTAATTTCACGCCTTCACGAACCGACCGTCATTCGTCAGCTGTCCAAACTGTCGGCGCTCTGTTTGCAAAGCCGAGAGTGAAGATTGCGCAAAAATCACCGTCACACTCTGGCTTACAGTTTCCGCTACAAGCCCGCGTCCCAGAAATCGTTTTTTACCTTCATCTTTCTTCTTGTGGTAAAAAAGCGAGAATAAAATGGAAATAACTTTATTTGTCTCTGGTCTGCCTGCGCTTTAATCCTCCCTCTGATGGAGTGGTCATTAGGCGCGGTACATAAATTACGTAACACACAAAATCAAGATTTTGGACACTCTCCCCTACTATGTAACAATAAGTAACGAATCCTAAAAAATAATTTGTATGGATATTTTATCTAACGAGTATCCTTCAAATCATTTGTGTAAATCGTTCGTTATCGTTCAGGAATGGTATTCTTCTATTATTGTGGATAAGACCTCCCTCCCCCTTTAGAAGGTTAATAACCACAGTAAACCGTTCAATTTTTATTATAATAGTAAGCTTTCATACAAGGAGCACGTGGATTTATTTATCAACACATTTTGTATTCGCATTTTATTTATTTTTTAACTTTGGTCAATCTGCAACCCATCTGCAGGCATTACGTAATTTGTGCACGAAGCCTTATGTGGCCGTCTCTAATGTGATGAAATAAAAGAAAGGCTGCCGCCGCCGCAATCAAGGCGGAAAATGATCAAAAGTCAAATTATCGCCTCACTTAACCCCATATCACTAGAAACGTCAGTTTGCAGACGGACACGCCACATCAACCGAGTTGACAAGGTTTATTTTAACGGTGGATGGTTATCGGTTCAACTCTATAGCTATAGGACTTTACTGAATTTATGTTTTGTGTATACATGTACGTTTAACACTATTCTTTTTTTTTCCTTACAGTTTGACTCCAAGACAAGCCCGTTGGCATTGCTGGCACAGACATGTAGCGCAATTGGTTCCGATTCACCGAATCCAAAACTTCTGGCCAACATAGAAAAGAGTACAAAAAACAACCGGGACAAACTGTCACCTGGTACACTATCCAGTGGGTCTTCAAATGATACTCCAAAATCGAGTTTCAAGCCATACGAGCCATCTACGGTGAATCATGACCGAACTAAGTCACCAGATGACAGTCATCATTCAAGTGCGAAAAATAAATCTCCTAAACGGTCCATCAGCGCATCTAATATACAACCCCAAAATGGTCGCTGTGAATCAAACCAAAGTGCTGCTTCATCTCGATCTTCTCCCTCGAATCACAACCGAAGAACTCCTGGCAGCTCGCACCAACAACAAGAGCGCAACAATAGTCCAAATCGTGCCTCATCCAAAGATTCACCGAATACGTTGAGCAGTTCTATGGAACCCGCAACCTTAAAAACACTTACGGAATCTGCAAGCAAGGATCCCAGCAGTAACGGTGAAAGCAATGTGAGAGCATCCACTTCAGCTCCAGCCTCTACTACAGTTGGACCACCGTACTATTCCGGATACGGAAGCTATCCAATGGATCTTATGACTGCTAGTGCACTGATGTCACCGCACCACCAAATGTTCAAAGCAGCGACTATGAACCCTTACTTCAATTACTCCAAAATGAAAATGCCAGGAGCACCTGACTCGATGATCCCAGTGTGTCGTGATCCCTACTGTACTGGTTGTGCCTTAAGCTCTCATATGCTGGGAAAACTCGGATCGTCCGGTTGTCCAGCGGGCTGTACTCAATGTGACCATCCAGGAAGCAAATCTTATTCACAAGCTGCAGCAGCAGCATCCTTAGCCGCTAGTCAATCATCCGCTGCTATGTATGCTCATGCTCAACTTGCCGCACTGGCGGCAGCTTCTCAGTTACCTTACGTATGCAACTGGATAGGCAGTGATTCATCCTATTGTGGAAAGCGATTCGCAGCTTCCGAAGAACTGTTTCAACATCTGCGAACGCAACACGCTGCCGGTCTTTCAATGTCAGAAGCTCTGCTTAACCCTGCCACAGCAGCTGCAGCCGCGGCAGGATTACCTCCATCCCATCCACTGTTCCAAAGAACTTATCCAACACCACCCTTAAGTCCCATGTCAACTGCCCGCTATCATCCCTACGGAAAACCATCTCTACTCCCTCCTTCCATGTCTCCGGCCTCTTTAGTCGGTATTCAGATGCCACCACATCCTTCACTAGCGCAGTACTTTCCTCCGTATTCGTTCTATGGAGCGCGATTAAACGGGTCAAATAATATGCATCCCTAAACGTTTTGTTCGGTTTGTAAATAATTTATCGTTTTCTTATGAAATGTTAGTCATCGGAAAGGAAATTTTAATGTAATAAAACGATACTTTGTCGAACTCTAGGCACTCTATTGCAATATTTCAGAGAAGGAAAAAATAAAATATTTTCTTGGAACAAACTCACTTCTTCACATGAACAGAAATATCACCGCCTCATTGAGATTTTTTTACAACTGCATATCACATAGATTCTAAGGCACTGATAATGGAGATGAAAGACGGTCTGAGCCGTCAAGAGAGAGAGAGAGAAGAAACGACGCATTAAAAGTAATCAAAAGATTCAAGTAATAAAAAGCGCTGTCTTTTGCCTTCATGAAGTGTCATCGGACTGAAAAACCTACGTCTGGTTGGGTGATAAATCTTGTGTTACGCCATTTCTCTTGACGCGCACTAATTGCGATACTAAAAAGCTCACCAGCGGCGACGTGGCGTTGGCCATAAATTATCCACCCTGACCGAAAAGCAAGAATTATCATCATCGCTGCTGCTGCAGCAGGCAACATGAGACTAATACCGTTGGAGTTGGCGGCTGAGATGGCACAAGATCACAAGATGTTTGCCTGCTGTATACTGGTGGTGATAGAGTGGCTGTATCCAACAAAGATTGCATTTGAAATCATTTATTGAGTTGAAGGTAACCAAAATGCTCAAGGTGAAAGTAATCTAGTGATTAAATAAAAATTTCATAAAGGGTTTCTCTGCGACATCACTTCAGATTGCAAAAAGCTCTTGTCGTTTTGTGCGAAATAATAAAATGAAAACATTGACGAGAGCTTTTTGCAAACTGATGTGATGTCTCAGAGAAAACAATTTTTGAAATTTTTATTTACTCACTAGGTCACTTTCACCTTAATACAAAAGACTGCTAGGCAATACTTCAATAATGAACATGTCCAAAACAGTTCGAAAAAGTAGTGTAAATTTCTGTTCAATATGATGCACATAAATGGAGCGTCACTTGTCATATAAGTTTACATTATAAATAATGTAAAGTTCTGAGACATTTCATGCAATGTAGCAAATATTGTATACAAAAGCCCATCTTTGTTAACAACATTGTTTACAAGTTGTTCGGTTGCATGAATCAAATACAAGTTTACGAGAATGAATGCTTACATCACAATTAAAATTCAGAATTTTTATCTGTGCAGGCAAAATTGACGCTCGTATATGTCAGTCTCAGAGCACCAAAATTTACATGATTTGTTCTAAGTGTGCATATATGTAAATAACTAAATTTACACTTAGTAATAAATAAATTTACACGTGACGGAATCCATCTTTGACATAAAAGACGAGACGTAAACAACCATGTCATGTTGACTACGAGACTAAAAAGATCGTTGCACTACGAAAAGTACGTTTGATTGAACCATATTTCGCGTCTGTTATGGCTCAAATTTATGTCGAAATTGACGCTCGTATGTCACCCTCAGAGCACCTAAATTTACATGAACTTTTCTAAGTGTGTATGTCACTCTCAGAGCACTGAAATTTACATGATTCCAATTCTGTATATATCAGGCATAACATTTGATAACGGCACAAAAGCATTTGTAAACAAACTTTCTAAGGCCCTTTACACGCGAACCAAAATACGCACACGCAAACCAACAACATCATCGGATAGGAGAAACTATCACCTTTCCGGTATTGGTTTGCGTGTGCGTACTTTGGTTCGCGTGTAAAGGGCCTTAGAAAGTTTGTTTACAAATGCTTTTGTGCCGTTTTCAAATGTTATGCCTGATATGTTTGCGCATTAGGAAATTCGAATGAATAATATAAAAATGAATGTTATGTTCGCGGAACTATCAATCGCGCAGATTTCATGGTAAATTAAATAAATCAAGACGGCGACTTCGTAATCTGGTACTCCAAGAAAGCAAGCAGCCGACCAAACCACTTCCTCGTTGAACGCTCAAGCTGGTATATCTCAGGATTAGTTTCAACAGAATCATTGCTAATCCGCCTCTAAACTAGTTAACCTGATTCCCACAATAAAAATAGCAAAAAATCTTACATATTTTATTTCTTATTCATTATTGTTTATTCATCAACATGCGAAACAAAATAAAAAAAATCAGCATAAAATGTAAGCAAATAAATTACTAAAACATTCGGTAACTAGTTATTTTTCCATTAACAGAGTATTCAGTTAACAAAGAGACCCAGTAAAATTTTACCGACTTTGGCAATCTAAGCTCTATGTGTGGAAATGCAACGTATCGAAATGCATGTAAATGATTTGTCATGCCCAGGTGAGTGTTGGTAGCCTTTTTTCATCGGCAATCTTTCCATTTGAACTGAGTGTACACCAGCTGTTGAATTATTGGCAACTTGAAATCAGCCGCATGTTGTAGTGCATCAATCTGAGGAGCATTTATGAAAGGTTTAAGAAGCATTTAATCGTTTTAATTTTACGATTAATATTTTCATCATCGTTATATACATTTCATTATGTTTTAATTCCTAAGCAACGCTCGGCATCTGCACTAGTTTTAAATAAAAATACAAATAAGTAGTAATTGAGTTTATGCACTGAAGAAAATCTAACAGGAGAGCGCACAGTGGGGTGATTCCATCCAAAAACCGGTCGGTATGATTTTTTTTACAAACGTAACCATAATACATTTTTAAGTAATTTGATGCTCCAGAATCCATATTTTGCGATCAACTTATTTTTTTTATTGGGTATCAAGCTGGAGCTGCGTGACAGCTTAGTTTTCAAGACTTGACCCATTTGAATAAATTTTGCTTCTATCTTTGACAATACAGCAAAAGGACTAGCCTATGTTGGCCGCTTGAACACTGGATTCCGTGTGTATTGTTTCAAGATAGTGATAGAAAAAATGCTGTGACGTCTGCGCGTAGATACAACCGCGTAGTAAACCGATTGAATAAGTAAATCCGTTTCAAACTAAATATCTAAACTATGTAAGTTACGAAAACCGCGCGAATTCCGAAAGCCGTGCGAGACAACCGAAGCGAGAAAAAAAGGCTTATTATCATTTAAAGAGTGCCACCAAAAGAAATGCCTATGTTGCCAAGTTGATTAATTTTGGTTTCCTCCTTAGATATTCTACTTATTAACTACTGAGCTTTGTATCAAATTAGTTAACTTAAAGAACGTGTCAATCATTTCAAGATTTCGCGATCGCACCGAACAAATTCTATACTACATAAGCTCAAAAGCGTTTGACAAGCTTTACCGAATTGCCTATCACTTCTGCGTAACCTCCGTAGACGTAGGCGCGTTGAATCCGATAGTCGGCAAAGGTTTAACCTGTACCAACACCACTTAAGGAACAACCTCGAGTCAGTAAAACCGTTTAGAGCTAAACATCTAAATTACGTAAGATACGAAAATCGCGCAAACAACCGTATTATCACTTAAAAAGTGCCACCAAAATAAATGTGATAGCCTATGTTGGCAAGTTGATTAATTTTGGTTTCCTCCCTAAATATCTACTTATTTTACTGTTGAGCTTTGTTTCAATTTAGTTATTTTACCGCACGTATCAATCATTTCAAGATTTCGAGACCGTACCGAACAAATACTACAGAAGCTCAAAAACACTTTTGGTGAGCTCTACCGCATTGCGAATCACTTCAGCGTTGGCGCGTTGATTCCGACAGCCGCGAAAAGTTAAACATGCATCAATACAACATAAGTGAAGATCGATTTTACGTAGGATTTAGTTCATAGATTAACATTGACTGCTGTTTACAAATGTAAGTTCTTGAACACTAATAAATAAGTTAACTCAAATGCTTTAACCACATATATAAGAGATTTCGCGTATTGAGAGAATAATATAGTAATCGAGTGCAACAAACTCAGGGGAATACAATACCATAAAAAGTTTAAAAGTTATTAATTGTCACATACCTCTACTTTTACTTATTTCCTAAACTATTCTTCTCCTTGTTAATCTGCTTAATGCTATTGGTCTGCTTTTGTTTTCTTATTAAAGTTCAAGACTAAATAAGAAGATTTATTCTACAACTTTAAAGGTTAGTTACCTCCCTAAGCGGACCCCCCGCATCCTAATTCTTTTGTTAATCTACTTAATGTCATTAGACTTTCTGAAGTTTCTTATTTAGGTTCATTTGATGATTATGATATCTCATTAGTCTAATTTAATAAATTATTAAAAGCTCTAATTCACCTAATCAATCATAACCCATGCTTTATTAAGTATCTGCACTTGTGCTTGTAATCAAAAATTAAACGTGTTTCAAGTACTTTTGATTTTGGCCTATACCTATTTATTTTATCTTAGTTCGACCCAGGTAACACCTTCATGTGACTAAAATGCACCATTTTGAAGTTAGTTTCCTAGCTGATTTTTAAATTATATAGGGTATATGCTCCAACTATGCTCACACGCTTCCACTATGTCGCACCACAAAAATACGTATGGGTATGTCATAATAGAAGCACGCCACAGTGGAAATCCCGAACCATAGTTCAAACACTTATCCCAAATCAAAATGAAGCACATATAAGATTAGTTACAAAACCATGTACAATAATGATGTTTAACATTGTTTCCTGAGTAATACTTCAATTAAAACAACAATGAAAGCTTGTCACGCAAATAGAAGGAGCACCGTTGAGCACTTTCTGAAATATTTCAACAGTATAAATCCCTTGCAAACCCAAATAAATCTATCTGCGTAAAAATAAATAAAATAAGAGTGATTTGCGGCAAAACCCGCCAGTATCACACCCAACGTCAGTGCCTATACGTAAGCGTACTACAACGCGCCTCTCAAACAAAGGAGTATCAAGTGTGATACTATCACTGCTAGACTAGATCTTTGGTTCTATCATGCAGTGGTTTAACAGAGAGGGGAAGCTTAGTAATCCCCATTGCCTGCCCATGGCGTCATTCTATCGCGGCATGAGCAACGGCAACGCCGGCCATAGCAAGGTGCAAAAACTAGCCAAAGGGAGGGATATTTTGCGATCAACTTATTAAAAATTTATTATTCAAGGGTGGCTCCAAAATGTTTTTTTTTTTTATTTGTTATTGTAAAATTGAACATTATTAGGCAATAATAAATATCCGTAAACATTTTTAACGCTCTAGATCAAGTAAAAATCTGTACCC